AACATACATGTATAGATTCATATTTGAAACAGACCACACAAATGACAAGATTGCTTTCATTTAATTAGAAATCAGCAGTAATAGTACTAATAGCAATAATAATTAGAGCAATAATTTTCATAATAATAAAGTAAACAAACTGTCTTTCATTTGATAGCTAGTCAAGAAGTGGCTTGTGAAATGTGAGTCATTATCCAGTATCACCAGTTGTTACGAGTTATTTTACTAAATCCATTTAGTAGACCTGTTTTTCATTGTAGTACCGTTACAATTTCAAAATTCATGTTCATTTTATCCCCTTCTCTTCAAATAGACTTCATTTAGAGGCATCACTTAGAGAGGACATGTGTACATGACAACAGCACTGTCTTACAGTTCTCCTGCGATGAAGAATACAGCTTACTGAACAATCTCTCAAGGTTACATCAAGTTACGTCTGCCAAGTAACCACAGCAAAACAACATACTGCACAATGCATGTTACTTCAACGACAAAGTTATACTTGGATCACTTTAATCTGCACTTTTATTTCATACGGATATTACATGATACAGATATTTTATTTTATACGGATTCCATGAACGACTTCGTGATGCAATTTACCTGAGCTTTAAGAAGTTCTTGGACAACACTCGAGTATATCTCCCGCCATATTTCGCATTGTTGTTTAGTTCTCGGCATTAACTTGGATGACGTGACACATTGTGCACGCTTTCGTTTAGCCTGCTTCATTGTTCCGCTTCGTAGGCACGCTGTTGGTTAGTTCACCTCGTTGTTACACGGTTGGCGCATATATTTAACGCGGCTCTTTTTTCTCCCGCCCGTTCTTTTTATGTACGTCTCTTGCCTTCGGTCAATAAACGTCTTCTCTTGCTCGGAGTTTCGGCTCAACTTATTGGCGTCCGACAGACGCGATTGTGACTCTCGTCAGCTTCTGCAGATGGGGAGCTTTCTTTTGATTTTTTCGCTTATCGGGCATCGCAAGGGAGTTAGAATTGGAGGAATATTGTTAAATTTATCACATTCACAAATGCACTTTCAATACGGCCTTCGCAAGCTTTATAATTGAGAGAATTCGGAAACTTAACCATTGGCAACGTTTATCACAACAGGTTAATCGTAACACTCTTCGTTTGCTGCAGCAACGGAAACAACAAGATCTCAAACATTTAAAATTCCGCCCTGTACACCATTAAAGAAAAGCAGCGTGTTAAATCGGGAGCTCTTTTGAGAACTCATAGAATCTTCGGTCAATACGGAAAGAAGTGTGGGTAGAAACACGAGACGTAGTGGAGTGTTTTTCCCCCTTCTTGAGAAAAAGTGAAATATATTTGTAGCGCGGCAGTTTCAATTTAACTCTTGCCTGAAGGTTTTAGTCTTAGTGTTCAGTGAATTGTTCTAAGTGAAATCCGGCCGAATTAAAGCTTATACATACAAACTTGCAATTTTCTTCACGTGATAAATTAGGGAACAAAATGCTCGAAGCGTGTGTTTTATGAATGGAAGATAGCTGGATTCAAAGGAACATGAAAATTGCTCGGGATGATAGCGCCGTAAAACTCGGCTGCAGTGACTGATGTGGCCTTCCACTTAACGCATCAGAAAGGATATCAGAGCAAGCTCTTAGTTCTTCACTCGAAGGGTAGACTATGTAATTTCTGAGGCTTGCTTCACTGCGATCTGGTCTCTACCGGNAAAAAAAGGTCAGGTAACACCCTTGTTTAAAAAAGGCGATGAATTCAACAAGACCAACTATAGGCCCGTTACAGTCGTAACGGAATTTTTATTTCACGTTATTATTTATTACAAGAGGCTGTTAGGGATGCTGGCCACGTTGTGGTTACCGTTGCTTCAAGTGTACGCTATGGAGAAGAAGGAAACAAGAGAAAAAAGATTGACGGAGAGCCGTTTGGAAGGTTTACAGTATGTTGTATTACCGAAGAGAGTCGTGTTTTTCTAACCGATGGTGAAAAGAATCTTATTTACGAAGCAAACATAGCTAATCCACCTACAGTCGACTTTTAAGAACCCGACAGATGTCATCTTCATTCGAGAAAATCCCCAGCATCTCCTCATTAGTGGTAGCCTTGGAATTAGTAGATTTTATTTGTCAAGCAGCAAAACCTCTCGCCCAGCACTTAAAGATATCGGTCGACCGTTTAAAGCAGCCCTTGTTAGTGAAAGAAAGCAAGTTTGGATTACTGTCTGTGAGAATAAGACAGTTGTCATTTTCAGTCTGGAGGGGCAAGACAAAGACCATCGAGCACAGATTTAAGGGGGCATTCTGGTAAAAGAAAATTTAAAATCTTTATTTATTTCGAAAAAGTTTTGATGGTCTCTTTAGTTAGGCAAATCTGTCTAGTTTAAAGTTTTGATGTCAGTTTTTCCACTTTATGTTTGCGAGTCAGTAAAAATGAGCTTTTCTTAGCCTTGTAGATTTGTTGTTTTTCCGTTTCAAGGGCAACGGTTTCAAATTTTGCGGTTTTTTTTAGCGATCGATGAGTCATAACTTGTAAAACACATTCCTACGGTCTGGTGTGACCAGAGTCCGTTCCACTGGTAGTATCTTTTCGGTTCTAAGCTAGGTTACTAAGCCAATTTGTTTATCAACAAAAACTCCGCATGCTTCATAATATTTTCGAATGACATTGCCAAAAGAAGGACGCACACAAGCTGTTTTAAGGAAAAATGTTTCGAAAAGGCCAAAAAGTGGTTTCAGAGGCACTTGAGTCCATGATTTAAAGCGCCAGAATAAAGAGAAACGGCCAACAGTAGGAATTACTTTTGTCGATGAAGACCATGTGGTGAGCGAGCTAACTCCACCACCAGCTGTGCCCGCATCTTCCAGAAAGATTCAAGTCTCTGATATCGAAAGCCTCTCAGATGAGAATTCTTATGACGCTTTCGAGTCAGCAAATGGTTATTGCCTTGTTAGCATGGACACTTTAAGGAAATTTTGTGACAGGATTCATTCACACTCTTCATGCTCTTCAGGTGAGTCTGAGCTTTATCACATACACTTGTAATCTGTATGTAACATATCTATCTTTCTAGCTACAATATGCTTAATTTAATAGCTATGTTATGAAATCTCTTAACTGTTTGTTTTTTTTTTGGCTGTTTTAGGCCATGTTGAGTTAGAAGAAGACTGTACAAGTAGATTTGGCTTGAGCAGTTCCATCTATGCCAGGTGTGATGAATGTGGAATGTGAGAACTACTTGCCACTGGATACCACAAATCTGATGCCACATGACCGAATACTATCCAAGGAAAAGATTTAAATCAAGGAGTTGTTTATGTAAAGATGGAACAGTTTTTAGTGTTCCATCTTTACATAAAGTCAATACTCCGGAGTTGTTTATGGTGCCTTTGAAATGGGTTTAGGAAGAGAAGGAATAGCCAAACTCTGTGAAGTGTTAGATATGCCTTTCAGTATTTCAATGATACATGGTATAGACATGAGGATGCTCTCTTAGAGGCCCACACTGATGTCATCCGAGGAGAACTAGCCAAGAACAGAGCTGAAGCTAGAAAGCTTGCATTGCTAGAGATGGGTGAGGAAGGTAACAATGAGAATGCAATAGCTGAAGTACCAGTGAGTTTTGATGGCACCTGGTCTAGGCGAGGCTATTCTGCCAATCTCTGTGTAAGCTCCGTAATATCAGCAGCATCTGGAAAAGTTCTTGACTTTGAGGTCATTTCTAAAGTCTGCAGTCAGTGTAACCAGAAAAAAGCCAATTGTACACAAGAGGCATTTGAGGATTGGTTGTAAACTCATGACTGTCAAGGCAGCTATGGTGATTCCAGCCCAAGTATGGAAATGGAATGCACCAAGCGATTATGGGCTAGGAGCAGACAATATGGCTTAATGTACAAGTAGATGATATCTGATGGAGACTCAAAGTCATATTCATCAATATGGAACATATATGGAGCATGTGACACTTTCAATTGCTTTGAGAAAATGGAACCAGCCTCTAAGGAGGCAGGCAAGACAAAGGGATGAAGAGCTGAGGTCCAACCGGGAAGGTGTGACATATGAGGCAGGAGGCTTCAATGATCTTGGACTGAACAGTGGACCACCAAGAAAGAGAAAAAAGAAATGAACAGACAAAAAAACCATTCCCTGGTGAATACACTGGTATTCCCTGGTGAATATTATGGTAAAATATCAAAGCAAATCAGATAGTTGAGTGAATGGAAGTTGTTTTCATTGTTTTTTCTCTTTTACAAATGTTTAAGGCTATTTTCTGAAAAATGGCCGTTTTTCTTACCGTCGGTACTGCCCCCTACTTTTTTGTCACTTAGATGTAAGGTATGTTAGTCAAACTTGGCTCAAGTGTTTAACATGTAGACTACTACAACTTAATGGAACAAAATTAGACCATATAAAATAGAAGCATATTTACAGGCAAAAATGTAAATTAAATGGTCATTTGGTTGCCATGACGACAATATCCACTGTAACCAAATTTTGCCTCATTAAGTTGTAGCCCCTTTTATATACAGTTGATGTGCCAAACAAGTTAATTTGACTACATTTTCATTGGAAACAAAAGGGGGGCAGAGTATCAAGTCCAACAATGATATTTGATTTTATAGTGTTAACAATTAACTTCGGAAATGCATGGTCAGCAATTTAATATCAATATTGAAGAAAGCATAATCAGGTGCCTCTTTGGTGAAAATGTGAGCCATTTAGGCTTAATATTGAATTTTTTATGAATTTTAAAAATTTTGGTCAAAATCGCCCTAGTTTTAGACCAGAATGCCCCCTTAAAGAGCCAACAGGAATAGCCTTCTTGCCAGTCTTAGATGTTGTAGCTGTTTGTGATTCTTCATAGTGCGCGCTTCTTCTTTTTGCCAAACACGGAGACGGAGTTTTAGTTGTCAATTGTCCCAAAGAGATATCGCCAATAAATGTGTCATCTTTTCAAGGGTTGGGAGTGCCACTCTCCTTGCATCAAGCGCCAGCATGCTATACAAAATGAAAGTGACACTAAATGAGAGTAAAGATGGCAGAAATTCGTCAGCTGTATTGGAGTAGGTGGCTGCTCATCGCACACACCCCACTCACAGTACTGAGGACGGACCAGCTACTTCATCAAAGCTTTCATGTGTCAGTAGCCTTTGGAGTGTTGGGTAGGCGTGTTTCATTGCTGATGGTGGCAGGATTCGTCTTTTCACACCAACGCAAGAGTTTTAGAATTGGATGGAGACTCCCCGCAACAACCACGAAGCTTACGGTTTAACTGAAAACAGACTTGGAGAAATTTATAAATGTAAGGTCTGAGCTATGGATTACCCGTCAAAGATTAAAAGGCCGTTTACACGGCAGAAAAATCGGGTACGGACGTGTCAAAAAAGGAGTGCGGACCGCATAAATTTAGCCATTTACATGGATGATGTTTGTCACGGGTCGGACAAAAAGGGGGATAAGGACCAAGTTAGCAAGGTTGCGTTTACACTGCAGTTTTTGGGGGACCGGACCAATTTCTTGCATGGGACTACAGTATTTGGTACAGCTGTGTGTTGTTATCGAACATGCGTGATTCTTGTTGTTGAAAATAGATTTCGTTACTTAGATTTCGTTACTCAGTTGCACGTGATTTGAACTTTTGTCTAGTTATCCAATCGGAACACGCTGACTTGATAGACATTTAACCTAGGATTTTTACTTCCCACATCATTGTGGTAGACTAGAAAAAATAACTCAGTGAAAGAAGGAAAGTTCAGTTGGAAATCTGTTGGAAACTAGCGCGAAAAGTCTTGAATTTGTACGGAGATCATCAAGAATAAAGTCTTGTGAAGATCTAGAGGGAGCTATTCTTTCCTTTTTTAAACTTGTAAACAAAATGGCGGCACGTGATGCTGAGTTATGAGTACGGACCCGTGTTTTTTCTGGTTTTGGGGCCATAGACGTCTATAGCCCCAAAACCAGAAAAAACACGGGTCCGTACCCATAACTCAGCATCACGCGTCGCCATTTTGTTTACAACAATTAGACATGTTCGATAACAGCACACAGCTGTACCAAATACTAGTAGTCCCATCCAAGAAATTGGTCCGGTCCCCCAAAAACTTCAGTGTAAACGCAACCTTGCTAACTTGGTCCTTATGCCTCTTTTTGGTCGACCCGTGATAAAACATCACCGTGTAAACGGCTAAAATTATGCGGTCCGTACTACTTTTTTGACGCGTCCGTACCCGATTTTTCTGCCCTGTAAACGGCCTTTGTGGCCCCAAAACCAGAAAAAAACACGGGTCCGTACCCATCCCCAAAACATGGTACGGATTGTCTACACGGGAAAAAATGTGAGGTCCGTACTCCTTTTTTGACACGTCTGTACCCGATTTTTCTGCCGTGTAAACGGCCTTTAAAGCGTTGGAGCAAAGAAGCAGCTATTTTGAAAAGTGGCAAAATGAAGTCGCCGAAAGGTTACCGGGAAAGAAGACCGCCAGCATGGGAAAGTATGGTACCCCTACAACGAAAACCATGGAGAATACAAGGATATCCTCAGAAGGGAAGAGAAGCAAAGAAGGTCTTCTAAGAGGACATGGTCTTGAAATTAGACTAAATGAGTTCCAGTTCACTTCTGTTACAACGCTTCGTACAGAAGGCATGTTCGGAGTGTGCAATGAAATCCGCTATGGGGTTTGGATTTAAGAGGAAGAGAGAGACGCGTTATGAACACAGAGATGACTGCCAAATGCCATTGCTCTACACAAAGCGGAAAGATGATCGTTCTTTTATGAAGGAAAGTTTGCGGGTAAAGAAAGAGGCGTCGGAAATACGTGACTTTTGTCGTGTGTACGGAAAGGGTGTTTAAGCTAGTGGAGTGAGACAAATCTACAAGCAGAGGCCAGGCTCTCTTCCTTTGTACTTCCGACGTGCTCGATCCTCAGCCTACGGCATTATACCCAAAATTATGCCGGTATAATTTATCTGAGCCTATCAGTGACCGTCAAATAGCTTCAATTGAGGTCTCTCAGATCTCACTATTTTTACTGCTCGTCAGCTCTGAATCTCGAGGACTCTTTGGATCTGCTTTAGCAAATCGGACTTCCATCGTGTATAAAAGTAACTTATGAAATTAAGAAGGTCGTCGATCTGAGTTTCCATTTACTCTAAAAGGCAATAGTTTGGGATTCTTTCCAATCAAATATTATCAATAAAATCAAGCAAGCCATGGAAACTGTCATCGGGTTCTTTATCGAATTCAAGTAATGTTTCGCTTAAGCTATAAATCACGCTTATATCATAACGCTGTAAAGATATTTTGGGAAGATATATCAGCGAATCAGGGGTGTATCGGAGGAAAATTACTTTTGTGCTGAACTATAAATCATGTAAGTTGATCGTATCTGACCGTTAATAACTGTGCAAAGGTAGTTTGTTGCCCCTTTGGGTTATTTCTCCCACCCGGAAATGATTTTACCCGGCACCAATCTTAATTTGACTCCCTATCAAGGAGATTTTATATAACTGTAATAAAAGCGATGTTCACATTTCCCATGTAGTGCACCTTTTCGTGTGGCTAATTGAAGTCATTTAAGCTAAGAGGCATTTTCCACTATTGTATATAGAATTTTCAAGTTCCGGAATCAAAACCTTTATAGTGAACTTGAATCATTTTCAAGGCTGACATCGTTCTAGAAAGATTTTTAAGAAAAATTTTCAACAGTATTGCGTAAATGGTTTGACGCATTTACGCATAAGAGCTTCAGTTATTATGCTGGAATTTTGCTCGTTCCTCCGATGACAGCATTATACCCAAAATTATGGCAGCATAATTATCTAAGCAGTGACCGCCAAACGACTTCAGTTAAGGTCTTTCAGATCTCCCCTTTTATACTGTTCGTCACAAATAGTTCTGCATTTCGAGGACTCTTTGAATCTGAAGAATGGAAGGCTAGTCTCCAAATATTTCCAAATATTTCCAAATATACTTAATTAGAAGTCATTCTCAGTATTACAATTTTTCGTCCGCTCACATACTCTGAAAAAGTGAATGGCTTATTTCATTAAAAATGGTTAGGACACACATCATCTTTTCGCTCTTTAGAATGTTTTCTTCGCCTAGTATCTGAGAGAATCACCCAGACTGGTTGTATATCATCTCCTCCGCGAATAAAGTGACAAGTGACTCTGGGATACTAAAAGAAACGTCATACTATCTGATTTTGTTTTCATTTAACTCAGCCCTAAGCTAGTCTCCGAAACCGAAACAGTCATTCCAAACAAATTCCAAGAATCAGCGAGTGGTTTTGGCAGGATTGCTGATTTGAGCAAACAAGAGGCTCCTACTGACATTTCGGTAAGGAAGGATGTCAATCAGCCACAGTCTAATAACCAGGCGTCAGTGTATTATAAAGGACAGCAGAGTTGCCGTTCAGTGGATTCTCCATTCTATAACCTCAAACTGAATCGTTTCCATCCGATTGTGTTGCTAGATCAATGGCGATCACTAAAAGTGTGAGAGACGCTTGCACAAATGTAATTAAATAACATACTCTGATCTTTGAAGCCTTGCCTGGTATTTCAGTGGATGTTACTGTCAGTTTATATTCGCACTACACCCGAATTATTTCTGAGATAGCGATCAAGATGGGAAAGGAATTCACTAGACTTAAATAACTAGAGATCATTCAAACACAACTGAATCAATTCACCTTTTTTTCGCTTTTACAACTGTCAAGTAAAGTAACTTTTGAAATTCATAAGGTCGTCGATTTGAGGTTCCATTTAACTTTATACTGAAGCAATTATTTGGTATTCGTTCCAATCTAAATATTGTCAATAAAATCAAGAAAGCCGGGACGGTCGTAGCTTCTTGCTGCATTGCAAGTGTTTCCAACAAGTTTTTAATCGAGTTCAATTGATGTTCCGCATAAGCTTTGCGCTCTTTGTCATATACTGTCTGAGATTCCAAGATCGCGGTCGACATATGCATATACCGAACAGACGGTGTGGTTATCATTTCTAGTGATAGTCATATCCAGTGTATGGTTACAATCAGTGATCGCGTCTTGCACTTCTACGTTCAATCAATAAAACTTGGCTCTTCAAACTGCAAAACTCCGTAAAAATCACCTTTT